GTGACATAGATAATTAAAATAAATTAAATTAGTTTGAAAAAATTGATATTTTAAAATAAACTCAGATTTGACCAACTATAAACTAGTAACCATAATTCATTGAACACAAATGTACATTATATTTTATGTACAGATATGTATAGCCTACGGGTGGTTACTGAAAGGTAAGCTCTGACGCGTTCAGTTGGTGGAAAAAGTTAAATAATTTTTGTTTGGTGGGGGGGGGGGGCAGAAAAACGTTAGCACCCGGGCGCCAAATTTCTGGGTACGTCTCTGCTTATCAGTATAATAAATTATTAAATTATAATAAATTTTAGACATAATAGATAACGTCGCTTTTACACTAAATAAATATCAATATAAATAGAGGATAGTAGTTGTAGTTCACAATATTTTCTGACTGTTGACAAAAAAAATGTCTATGAAAAAATTATAGAAATAGACCAGTGGCGTATTGAACTACATTTTGGCAATGGGTAAACATTTTGAAAATGCAAAACCTCAGTAAAATTATGCTCTCAAATTAACAACTTAGGCCGAAAAAAGAACAAACATGTATTTTGATATAAAAACAAAAACCGCTTATTTGTACAAACATAGTTTTAGAAATTTTTTATAATACCATTAAATAAGGAATAAGGCATTTCGAGCGTTCTATATAAATGTATCAACAATTCACAAGTTTAAAATTTACCAGATGTACCGAATTTTCCATTTATCATCTATGTAAGATCTATATTATAATATATTATAACTATTTGGTTTTGCACGCATATATTGAAAATTATAATTTATGTTTTTACAATGGTTATTTCGATAAAAATACCGTAGAGCAAAATAACAAAATTATCATAATTTTGATAATCCCCACAGAAAACCAAGGCATTCGATGGCAATGTGTATTTGTATTTGTCAAAACGATCTACGATTACAGTATATAGACAGTATATATTGCATCATATATCGTAGAATATATTAATAAAAAAAAAATAAAAATCGAATATTACAAAAAAAAACATATATTAATATTTATTTATAAATCAACATAGACGACGGACAGCACGACACACAAAAAAAAAACTTATATTAAGTGGACGTCACATGTACAATGCGATACACCCGCTTCTCGTTGACCATTCTCGCAATGTTTTCCTTTCTCTTGGTCTCTCGTTATTGTGTATTTATATATACATATAATATTACGTTTCGAGAATAGTCTCCGAGGTTGTTTATTAGTTTATTTAAATATACATCAAAAACACACGTGTAATTCGTTGTTAATATAATATTTCCCTTCTCCCCAAGTCCGTACAATAAACGGTCAACTCACAAATCAAATTCCGTCGGCTCGTAACTCTATCGGCCAGGACAAACGATAAAAATGACGACGGAATAATAATAATATTAAGACACGACGCACAACAAAACAAAACAATAACTTGTCGGAGGTTCGTGTAGAGTTGAGAAAAAAACCGTAATCTAGCATATTAATGCATGAGAAAATAAAATCGGTAGGACGTCCAAGCTGGATTGAAAACCCATTGGTATTCATTATAATAATAAATTAAGTTACATGATATACCGAGGAAATACTATTGCAGTAAAGGTAGACAGTGGGTAACAGTAGGTAGTATTATAATAAGCAGGTATGTTATGCACGGCCATAGGCAGCACTTGGCTCTTATTGTCAGAGGGGAAAAAATGAATTACAATTTACTGACCAATTTAAAAATCTACTCACATTCAACTCATGTACATATTTTACATTTTTACACCTACATTTTTACTTACTATGTGTATAATATCTGATAAGACGATAAGTATATCAATTAATATCAATGTAATATGTTATATTTTAAAAGTGTAACGTGGTCGGGGTTGTTTAGTTAAATATATGATAATCAGGGAAGGTTTCTAGTCCTTTTGAATATATTATACCGTAGCTCGGGAGCATAAAAGGAAAGATCTTAATATTACAAAAAAATCTAAATTTATTTAGTTCAATTATTAATATTTAATATACATGTTTAAATACGACTTATGCACTAAGGACTTCTACATAAAAAACAATACGGAGTGCCACTACATTGGATGGACGTCGTGGCCGAAGACCTTGTCTTACATGTTTTGCATAGCTGTTGGATTTATTATAGTGATATATATGTCCTGGTTGGAACATAATGTCTACTCAACAATATCCATATTATATGAGTAGACTAATAATATGTAACAATCGTTACAAAAGTATTGATTAAATGTACTTTATTGTATATTTAATCAATGTACATGTACATTAATGCATTAGTTTATATTCATTTATGGTAATGATGATAATATAGATAATATTGATCTGACTTAACATGGGGAATAATTTTCTTATATAATTGTACCAACGTAATTTTAACATATTTTATATAAATTAAAAATTGTTTAAATAATATTTAACTTAGGAGGGGGTAAAATGATAAGTTTGCCCCTTAATATTTTTTCTGGAGGGGCAACTGCCCCCCCCAAATGCCACCTATGGGCACGGCCACATTGTGGGGATGATGAATTTCGTCATTTTAATTAAAAAAATGACGGAAAAAATATTTTACACTACATGTTAAATTTTGCTACGTTTATTTTGGTAGTTCAGTATTTTATATATTATATTTAAATTGTGGTTATCAATTAAAAATACTGTTTTCTAACTATGGTCAAACGTTTTTTTTATCTTGTCTAAAACGGATGAAAACTACTTTCGTCGTTTATGGATAGTAATAAAATGAACAGTTGAATATTATAGTGGATTTATTAACGTCGACATAACTTGTTAAATCAATTTAATGACTCGTTTACGGAAGAAACAACAAACTATACCTACTTGAAGTAATAATCTTAGCGTAAACATTTCGGGAGAGGGGAAGTTTAAATAATCACATGGGAATTTTTTTTAATAATTTTTAAAGTTGTAGGTCAAGTTATTTATTTTTAAAATTTTTCCTGATACTACGGACGGAAGGAATTATACCACCCACCCGTCTGCTTTCGCACCTGTATACTGGAGTAAATATCAAACCAGATGCGTCTCCAAGGGGGAGAAGGGGACAGACCCCCATCTAAAGTAATTTTTAAAAATTTGTTAACAAAATAATTATAATCAGTGATATAAATTTTAATAATATTAATGAAAAAAAGATAAAAAAATATATTATGAAAGATAATACTTGTGGTACTGATTACGGTTATAGATAGATAACTGTAACCGTGGTACTGGCTAACGTACTAACGTGCACAATGGTTACAACGAATTATTGATATTCCATAAAGTAATAATATCTAGTATATATATATATATATATATATAAGTAGTAGTAATATAAGTAAATCTTTACTTTTCATTATTATCCAAGTTTTTAAACGTATATTTGCTGTATTTGAATGATGTTTAATAATAGATATTAGTTTAACTTTCACCTAATTTATTGCTTTATACTTCATGCTTTTTAGACTAATATCTCTGTTAAGGAGCCAAATTGGGAAAAATTGATTGATAGGATTGAGATTATTTTATGTACAGAGAAACATTGATATAAATTTATATAGTGTTATTGATCGATTTACTAAAAAATAATCGAAAATTCGATTTTATAGTATAATTAATTGTACCTGTTTATTCATAATTTTATTGTATTAGTAATTATTGAGTTCAAATAGATTCGCCTCTCCCCCCCTTGAAAGTTGTCTAGGGACGTGCCTGTATCAAACAGGGACCTTTCCGGGGGTGGGGTGAGGGGTTATACCATTGACTTTATTACTCTGTGGGATTTACTAATATGTTTTTATATTAGTATAAATATATAAATATAGAAGTGAATATAAGTAAAAAAAAAAAAAAAACTGTACAGTAATAGATATAACCAGCTGTTCTGTACTTATCTTAAAACAAGATGTTAAATTATAGAGGTGGCATTGTCCCTCCTAATTTATTCTAGGGGGCAATGGTACTCATGGTACTCCTTCCCCTCAGTTTATGTCTATGCGTCTATGTCTGTCAACACAATAAGCTTAAACCAATAAACTTAAAAAAACAATTTTCCAAAAAGTAAAAGCGGCCCAATTCAAACAAGCTGCCCACTGGGGCACGCCACTGGTATCAAAAAATAATAAAAGAAATTGATATAAACAGAAGTTAAATGGGATGAAAAATGCTTCCGTATTATTAATCGGAGAACGTATAAAAATACCGATAGAAATCATCTATGCCGTTCGTAGTAGAAAGAATAATAATACGGCAGTCAGATAAGTAGTAGTTAAATAAGTGTGCTCGCAGGGAGGGGGTGCCGAGTATGCCCGGGTACTCCCTGAAATGTTGGGGCCCTAAAATTTAGTTTTAAGAGTAAGGAGCTCGTATTTTAATTGATGTTGCTCAATTTAAATGTAACTTATTCTGAAATATTTGGTGAAAAATAAAAAATGTTTCATAATAGAAAAATAATACTAAACGTCCTAAATTGTCGTGCAACAACTTCTAATGTCAATAAAACAGCTACAATTGATTACTAAGGTATAAATCATAAACAATCTGAGAAAAACGTACGAGATTCAAGGAAAACATATTCATTGGGCATAGTATTGAATAAAAAATTCAAGTTACTTTTATTTAATTATTTATACATTATAATTATTTAAATATACCTACACGTTTTGTTAAGATAGGACCTAAAAGTGTTATAGGCACCTCTCCCCCCCAGAAATACTGGTCTGCGCACGCCTAACCAGTAGGTATTTGTAATATAGTGAGAAGCCGGAGGTAGACGTATTTCCGTGTGTCACGTGTGCAACGCGATGTACACAGTACACGTACGAAAAACGGGCAGACACCACGCGGTGCGCGGTGGAAGGGATGTTGGCGGGGTAGGAGGGAGGGACGGTCAAAATTAATCAGCGTCGGTGAGGTGCGGGGGAGAGAGGGGGGGCGACATCCTTCGTGCGCGCGATCGTCGCCCGCAGCCGGCACGTCAGTCGTGTACGCGCGCGGCATGGTCGCGGTCGTTCGTTGTCTGTTGCTTGTTGGTGTTCCGTGTCGTCCGTCCGTCGCAGTCCCGCGATTTCGTACCAGATTCGACGGCATCGCAGTTCGCCCTATAACCGCTGTTCAAGTCCGCCACCCGACGCGCGTACGCGGTCACTGCAGAGCCGCACGCGTCGTCTCGGCCCCGCGCGATGTGGCGCACCGCGCTGCTAGCCGCCGCGGCCATCGCGCTGGCGTTCGACAGGTTGGCCCAGGGCTCCAACACGTTCATCGACGAGGAGACCAATTTGTCCAGCGAATGTGAGTATCCGTTATTTCTCCGTTGCCCCCCTCCCCTTCCATCGTGTAGCCATTCAACGCGACAAACCGTTCGCCGCCGAATCGGGGCCGATATCGTTGGTCGATTCTGCGCGTCACCCCAGACTCCGGTCGACGCGCCGTTACCCCGGTATACACGATGGTTGAAAACGCGCAACTGTATTTATTGCACCGTACTGTGTGCACATTGGTAGTGATGGACTTGATCGGTGACCCGATACAAATAATAATTATAAATGCAAATTATTTACGTTAGTAGGTACATATATATTACGTAACGAACACGTTCGTCCCTATTACATTCGTATTTCGTGCGACGACGTATGTACATCATTGCCGTTGGTACATTCGTACATCTCGATTTCGTGGGATGTTCTTGATCAGCATTTCGTACGAATATAAATGCTATGACTATATACTGATACTTTTCGTGGACTTCAATCTGCTAGGGGACGCCTCGGATGGTATAACGTTTTGGCCTCACAAAAATATAATCACGTTCCTAACTTGGCCTACCCTCCACGTCTCCCCTGAACCTTGGTTAGGTGAACGATAATTGATAAAGATTATGATTATATCACACTGCTGAGAAGTTTAGTGAGGAGGGGGGTAACCGATGAGGGTTATCTGAAAATCTCGGTGTCCGGTACTAGTGTGTGTGGGAAATTCGAACGAAAAATGTTTGTTCACAAGGACAATATAGTTAATATATATATATGTATAACTAGTTGTGTTTACCTAATAGTTTTATAATTAGATTATCCATAACTAATGGAGGTGATGCTATTTTGTTGTTATCTCCATAAATGCGATTTTCATTACCATGTTTAAAATGATATCGGATATTTATTTTATTATCGTGGACGAAGGTAACTTGTGTAATTTGTAGAATATAATAAACATCCGAGATCGTAATTCCCATATAATACTCTTTGGGTATCGTAATTTTCTCTTAAGTATTCATTCAATTTATAAATACTTGGGCTTGGTGCCTTATAGACCCATTATTTATTACATTTTACCCACTTTATTACAAATTAATTATAATTTCAAGGAACGATTTCAATGTTTCAATAATATATGATAATAATTAATATATATTATATTGAAATATATATTTTTTTTCATAAAATTAGTTATCATTAATATTTCATTGAAGTACAGAATATATCATTCTTATTTAAATCAGGGGTTTGATTCGTTTACTGGGTGATTAAAAAATGTCTTAGGAAATGGCATTTTATCATCAGCTATCAACAAAAATCGTCTGAACAAAGGTACCTATTATTTAGTAACGAAAATATAGTATTTTTATAACTTCTTTTTAATATTTAAATAAATATAAATAAATATTAAAATAAATCCTTTATTTTATTAAACAATTATTCTTCATTTTCAAATTTTTAATGAAAAAATTACAATTAAATAAAAATAAATGTTTCCTGTTTTATTATTGACAATATACCTAGGTTTTTATTATTATTTTATTATTTAAATAAAAGTAGAGCATGTTAAATCATCTGATAATACTTGATACAATAAAATAAAATACCTGTTATTACATATTGTAAAATTATTTTTTTTTTTAGTTCGAAATTTTAATAAAAAACCAGATCCTTTTGAAGTAAAATCTATTTGTAAAAAAATAAAATGTTTGTAAAAGAAATGTTAACATCTGTAATCTGATTTTCATAATAAAAACTCATATATAATTATAATGAATTGTTACTTAACTGTATAATGATTATGTATATGCGATATGAATGATATATTTATCTATCATTATTAAATGCCTAATAAAATATTATTTAAATTTAATATGATCTCATATTTTAATATAAAACCAACGAAATGAAATAGTTGAGAGATGAAATTTAATACTGACATATTGCACAAACACGAATATAATTAATGTTTTTTGTGATGACTGATGCTATATTTGACAGAAAATATCCATAGTCATACATGTATTATTCATTAGAATCCTTTGTAACCTAATCAACCAAAGTATTTAGTATATTTTTAGGGATCTATTATTAAATTATTAAAGGGGTTGGATAGGTAATTTAAGTATAAATGTTTGATTAATTATTGTATATTATATTCAAATTTTACTGTAATATTTATGAATTAATTTTGATTATATTATCTACCAATCAATATAAATGTATTCACTTTTATAATTAGTTCTTTAGCCTTTAATTATAAATTTCTGTTTGAGCAATTAAACTCTATTGGTGTATATTTTATTTAGGTATGACCCTGGGTATGATTGAAATGTACATTATATTAGATTTCAAACATACCTATAACATATTATTACTTTTAATATTTATATTTTTGAGTAATTCACGCATTTTGGGATAAATTAAAAATTAAATAAATAATACTACTTTGGTTCAAAATATAATTATAAGTAACATAAATTATACTCAGTCTTTATAAAGGTCTAACAGAAAATGCAAAAGTTATAATATATTTTTAATAATTCATTTGGTATATGTAAATATATGAATAATATCAATAATACATATAGTATTTTCAGTTGTTTTTCAGTGTTTTCAGCTGTTCCTTATGGTATTACGACTTACGTCACATTAAATAACTATGTATAGTCAAGTATTAGATTTATGTTTACTTGTAAATTTAAACTAATTAAAATTCAATATTATAACGATTATCTACTAAACTTAAAATCCAACATTACAACGATTATAATATACATAGATACATAGTTTTATATATATACCTAAATGAAATCAGTTATTATTTTTGATATTTTTTGTTGAGTTTTGATCATTACAAATAAATTTAAATAATTGTTTTTATCTAAAGTACTTTTGCGCAATTGCTTTTAAATTAGCATTTTGTTATTTTTATTTAATAATTAATGGTCAACAACTAATCTGCCTTGTACGTCTGTACATCCAATAAGACCCGTTGATTCTAATTTAATTTTGTGATCGAAAGAACGGCCGAGTAACGGGATTTAACTAGAATGGGGACACTATATAGGCTCTGCGTTATTGGCTTATGGATAAAGACTTCCCAGTCGGATGCACGTTGCGGAGAGGAAGAAAACTGTAGAAATTATTGCTTTTGACGTCGGTCTGGGGGTCTTGATGAATTTTTCCAGTATACAACATCAGTCTTGTCGTTTGCAGATGGCGTAAAAACATTTTTTTTTTCTTCTAAAAGGTCAGAATATAAATCCTACTAAAGAATAGTATTTCATGGTTTATAAACATACGTAGACGATACAATACATAAAGTGTTCATGTATTGTCTCTTGACGCACACATCGTGTTCATTGACTATAACAAGTTCTAACCTTTTAAAACTGGAAAAATTATAAAATATTATTGTCATTAGTTTTTTAATTTTTCTTTAAATAGCTAACAATTGTTAAAATTTTTTTTCAAAATAAAAATTTTTGGGTCCTTAATAGCTCCTCCAGTCTAGTGTAAAATTCAATAAAATATCTGAAGTTATTGGCATCATTAATAGGGATTTTTATGTGGATTTTATAGTTTATGACATATCATTTGTTGTTTATTGTGTTTACTATATTATACAGCTACCGATGCACCATGGGGGTGCAACGTTAAAACAATATTATGAATTCTAAAATCGTCGGGACGAATGGGTATACCGCCGTTTTCGAAAATATTTCAAAGAAGTAAACAAACACATTGGTGTAAACTATTTGTATTATATTGAAAATCAATTATAGCTGTCATTAAATAAATTGTTTTGTCTCTAAACAAATAGTTGTTTTTATTAAAATGTGACACTTATCTATAGATATTTTATTATAAAATCAGACTTTCGGGAGTTTACCATTTGCGCTTAAAATAATCTTCTCATATATCAATCAAATTATTGTATAATAAATAAATACACTAACCAATTTTTGTTCGATTATAAATACGTAGTATAATATAAATAAATGAATATATTTTTTTTCTTAACATTAAACAATTTTCTTTGTGATCGGCAATTATTCAAAATTCAGTTGTAATTATAAATATAATAAAAATAAACATTACACTGATTTTTTTTGCGACTATTAATACATAACATAATATAAATTAATAAATTCAAATTTAAAGTTATACCAGTTACATTAATTGACATTTAAACTTTTTTACAATAATAAATACATTTTACTAACAATAACTTCATATCTGAAGGTAGGCAAATTTGAATAGTGCAGTTGGTATAAAGACCATAAAATGTATGGAGCGAAATTGGTCTATACTCAAATTTTAATCAAATATTAATTTTACTTCTAACATAATATAATATTTAAAAACTATATGGTTATTGAATTTAATCTTTATTTTAATTTTAAATTGTGTTGGATAAAATAATATATTTGTTCTTAGTACAATATACAGTACATTTGGCTACGGTTATTCATAATTTTACTTACTTAATTCCTTAATATATTTTCTTAATGGAAAATCATCTTGATGTATTATTTTTTTTTACAGTTTGCAAATATTTGACTGTTAATCAATTTGTAAATTAATTCAGAATATAATTAAAATATTTTAGTTTTTGTTCATAACCTAACCTGGGGTATTAATCTAAATAAATATACTTATAACTCAATAAAATTTGATATTAAAATATTCTGACAGTGAATTAATAATTAAAATTTATCTGTATAATATGTATGTATAATTTAAAAATTAAACTTTTGTGTACACCTTAACCTTGTTTTTAGTATATAGACTTGAAAATTAATTTATATTGACAACCTATCTGAATGTTAAAACTGTTAATTATATATATATTATTTCCTTAAAAGTTGCTGTAGAAAAAATAAACTTTCTATTCTTAATTATAGTAATATTAAGAATATAACTTTTCGATTGTGAGTAACTTATTGAATTTACACTTAATATTTTACTTACAATTTGGGTAACTAATGTATTATATTTTTCGTATATACCATAATATAAACATATCTATTA